TTGGAAATTATTTCAAAATAAAGGAGAAAAAGAAATTAGATAAAAATGCAAATGAAAGGGAATTAATTGTTATTCCTGAAAAATATAGGGATCAAATGCAGAACTACACAACTTTAATGCAGAACCAAACAAATAAACTCAATAATTGCTAAAACTCAATAATTTGGTCAATACGCACCCTCCTAAGAGTCAAGCCTCTGTCAATGCTTCACAGAAATCAGACACACAATCTAAGCGTTCATCTCCTAATGAGAAAACTGAAGTTATTGATATGGAAGTTGACTCACCTTATTTACCTGCTGATTCATCATCTGTGGATAGTGTGTGTGAGTATTCCCCTACAAGTTCCCCAGTTCCTTCTTCTCCAAAAAGCAAAGATGTGTTTAACAGTTTGTTAACAGCAGATAAAAGAATTTCAATTTCTGACAAAAGAACTCATGAAGGTGCTTCTAAGGCTAAGAAATTAAAAATACATTCAGGATCTATGCATGCGTCAGAAAACTTAGCAAAGAGGCACAAACATGATGAAGGATACTCAAAGGAGCCACATTCAATGAGAGTGCAAGTAGCAGATAAGAAAAAAGATTCATCTCGCAAAGAGCAAAAACTATCTGACAAGAAAAAACTGACAAAACGATTCTCAGTTAAAAGTTCCAGATGAATTGCCAAGTTCTGGAGTTGAGATGCAAGTCAAGGAGAAGTTTTTAAAGAAACTAAACAGACAAGAGCAAGTTGTTGAAGAAGAAAAACTGCCACAAAAGCCTCTGTCACACTCACCTGATTTCAAATAAGGAGTTTATTTTGCAAACTGATGTTTCAGACTCTGGTATGGGTGTCATTTTAGCTCGAAAAGATGAACGAGACAATGAACATCCAGTATTATACCTCAGTAAGAAGTTTACAGAAACTGAAAAAAAGTACTCTACCACAAAAAAGGAATGCGCCGCCATAATATTTGCTGTAAAGAAACTTCAATGTTATTTCGACGGGCATACTAAATTCCTCATCATGACCGATCATAATCCCTTAGTTTGGCTCAAAAATAAAGTGAGTCTAAATCCACAACTTATGAGATGGGCACTAGTACTACAACCCTACAATTACACGATCGTTCATCGAAGTGGTAAAAACCATAAAAATGTAGACGCATTAAGTCGTACTCCCTGGCCTGATTAAATAATTTGTTTCTCTATATAGATAGAAAAGTATTTTGTTCCTTCCTCTCTTCCTCAGTGTATGTTATTATGTTATATCTTGTAAAAAAAAAAAAAGTAAACTTTAATTTATAAAAATATCAATTAAAGTTTATCTGGAGGGGAGAGAGGTTGTAATATCTTGTTATTTAATAAATAAATATAATTATTGTTGAAGTGGCAATGCCATATTTGTATTAAACCGTTACTCAGCAACGTGAGATATTGTTTTAAAAAGATTAGAATTCTGAATATTTTACCAGCTAGGAGTAGTATGAAAATTTTGCCACTTAATTATTGTATAAAATTTGTCTATCATTGTGAACTAGAAATAAAATTTATGTTCTACTAAGAAGATGGTCTGTTTTATAAATTACTGCAAAATACATTACAACCTCCTCATGTCCCAGCCGAAGTGAGGATGTGCCTAAGAAGAACTGAAGAGCGATTAATTAGCCATCGCTGTAGAAATGAGTGGCTTCCCTCGCTTGCTGGACTTAACAGCACTTGATTTTTGGCTTTGGGGTTATGTCAAGTTCAGAGAATACTGCAATAGTACATCATCTTTGATGCAGTTAAATGATGCCATTCGTCATGTTAGTAAACAGTTGCATGCGTACAAATAAATGTAGTGTTCTTTGAAATGTGTGATTTGTTCTCCCCCTATCGACAGAAATAAAAAAAAAAAATTTATCAAAAAAATTCTACCTTCATGACATTTTCAGTACTTTTCATTTTGCCGTCACAAACGATAAAGTCGCCAATAATGGTACAGCTGATGTCAAACAGAATATCTTCGCTGGTAACCTTTTACGCCTCATTTTCAAAACAAGTCACAGCCATTTCGTACCAGATTGATTGTTTTTTTCAATACTGGCATACAATTACATAGAATTGTTACTAGATAGTTCAATTTTATGCCCTAAAGCCATTCGCAGTAATTAAGTCAATTAGAATGCAATCACACCGCTCACCCGAAGGTAAGGTAACCAGATTTTCCGGAGGGCAAAGCAGGATGCTGGGGTCCAAATTTGGGTGGGGGAGGAGGATGGGAGAGGGCAGAAACCCTTTCTAAAGGTGAAAATACGGAGTCCAAAATTTTTAGTAAAGTCACATTGTCCTGTAAAGAATTACCCATCATTTGCGAATTAGCATGTGCGTTAAGCAGACTCTATTATTGAATGAAACAAGAGAATTTATCCATATCTCAGACTGAATCATTTATTAAGTCAACAATCACAGACTTTGAGATCTGGACTGAGGCAACTCAAACACACTTTCAGTAAACATAAGAGCGAACAAAGAATAAAAAAAAAGCAGTCGGAAAATAAAATTTTGTAACTTCCTATTTACCTTACTGCTTGAATGTGTCCATCGAGGACATGATGCCACAAATATATTAATTCGATGCGGACGATGGGCCTTCCTGATCAGCCGCTGACCTAGAAGGATCATCCTGTGTAGGTGTTCTGTAAATGTATTTCATTGACGAATGAATGCTTCTAAGAAGTTTTGCCTCTTGTAGAAGTCTTTCATAGACTTCATCACAGGAACTACAGGGACTGTAAAACTCAAAACTGGCACTTCATTAACATTTCTTGTAGAGTTTCCAGTTTTAACTGTGTCTTTTCAGTTGTCCATATGATATTCATAGACGAGAAAACTCTTTCACTGACGGTGTTTGTTCCTAGAAGACACAACAAAAAACTCCATAATTTTCTGGATTTGCGCACGTGGCACGTTTACATCCTTGAAATGATGTAAAATTTCAGCCCATTGACAGTCGAGACTAGTTTTCTGACGATTCCAATTCGCAGTCTTTTGTGGTGAAGTAAAGCGCCTAATGTAGCTTACTTCGTCAAATAACTCGTTATCATCGATGTCAACCTTCGGAATCTTCCACCCAAATAGTTGCACGCTCTTTTGTACGTTTTCCCACGATGGTGGCTCATTTAACGCAACCCAACTAAATGCATTTAAATCTTCGAATTGCTCAACCCTCTCTTTCAGATATCCAGCACAGTTGTCGTAAAAACTTATGATGTTTCTTATGTCATTTTTTCTCGCCAATCCGACGGCGTTTCTGAGTGATGACATCATAGCTTTATCGGCTAAGAGTTTTTTTTGCAGAAAAGTGGGAGAAGCAGTCGTCCCCCTGGGGCAAGCGAGGGACCTCAGGACATGAAGTCTGAAATCTGGACTGTCCCACCTAAATTGGGACGTCTGGTCACCTTACCTGAAGGCGAAAATATAAAAAAGGCAAAATCAAGGGTTAAATTCATTAATTGTAATGAGAATGTACTAGCAACGTAAAGCACTGTGGTTTTACATAATTTCTGAGTAAGCTATTCGTACAAATTGAAATAATTTTTGCATTTAAACTTGTATTTCAAATTAAGATTTATCTTGAAATTAATGTAGATAATTACTGAGAGAATTATATTTTTGTAGCATAGTTTATGTGAGATGAGATCATTTGGGGTCACATGATACGAACTGGCGAATCAGGATGTTAAACCATGATAGCATAGTAAATTCTTAAATTAATGTCTTTTTACAAATTTATTGGCTTTATTTATTGGCTTTTTACAAAATTTTAAACCATATTTTTTACAATTTTTTACAAAATTTTAAACCATATGTTTATGCCTTCAAAATAAAAAATTCTTAGAACTAACATTTGTTAATATTTTTTATGTGTATACTGTATGTTGTCGCCAACAAAGTCTGCTTGGCGAGATTTGCGGCAGCGAAACGGAAAAGTACCACATTTTCGCAAACTGCATCCAATTCCTCCGATTCCTTTTACAGACTTATGGGACACCCTGTATATATATATATATATGCAACATATGCACAACAGGCACACACACACTTACTTTGAATATGGGAATGCAAAGTGAGCATATAATATCTGGCATCAGGATATATAAGGTAGGCATTGTTATGTGCTTTGAAGAGCAGAACATCTGCTGGGAAATAACTGTTTTCCGTTTCTTTTAATTGTGTCCATAGCTTTTTTATGTTCTTTTGTTTGAGATACCATCTCCAGACCACAATGCTTTGAAAGGTTAGCATTTTCAATGTGCAAATAAAGTGAAGCAACTTCTCCTATTGTGTTGCATTCACCATCTGTATAATAATGCGTGCGCACATGACATCAGTGAAAGAAAAGTACTTAAACGGAAACCTTATTTCCATCTATCTGCTTTATAGGCTAGATATCTCTTCATGTGACTTTACACTTACAGCATGATGAAAAAAGTCCTTGAAAGAATGATTAGTTCCATTCACACTGTGATGTAAAGATAGCTGTTTCAGACAGTGTGGGAATTCAACCAAAAGTATATATTTAACCTTGTTTTACAATGGGATAGTTGTGTTAAACTCAGTGTTGATTTTGTGTAAAGGGGTACAATATTTCAGAAAGTTCAGCTTTTAAACAGAAACTTTTTTATTGCTGTTAGTATTTTGAAAACAATATAATTACATAATATGAATTTATTTTGTGATATATTTGTTCTAATCCCATGAAAAAAGGACTTGAAAATTAAAATTATAGGTTAATGTTTAGCTCTATGTATTTAGATATGTGTTATTTATTTTACATGTTTACCCCATGTTTGATTGAAAAATAGTAACCTTTGTTTTACATATAAAAAAGTAATACATTTATTGGATATAATTTTATTGAAATTTTGCAAGTTTCAGAAAATATTTTCCATGTATGATGTATGTTTCACACATTTGTTGCTCATCATTGTATTTAGTTTTTTATTCATTTTTTTTATTTAATTTGATATGTAGGTTGATAACTATTCATTGAATAGTGTGCCTAACATTAGCTCAACACATCCTCATCATTCTTGTTCACCTGGATATTTACAGCAACATTCACAGTCAGCTTCAAGTCCTACAAGCATTGGTCTGTCTCAAACAGTATCCCACAATAGACTCTTCCAACAAGGAAGAAGTATTCTTATTAGCAGATCTCCTGAGGGGATGATTGTTCATTCACCACATGAAAGAGAACCTGGCCATGTCAAACTTCAACTGTCTCCCACTTTGCTTCAAGAAGATACTGCAAGGAGAAAATCTTTCACATCTGCTGACTCAGTATTAGGTTCTGCTAGCTGCAGTCCTATTACTGAAACTTCCCAGACCACTACAGTTCCTGCAGATTTTGGATTAGCAAAGGAATATGTGGGCCAATTAAGGACATCGCCTTCGCATGTAGGATATAAATTACCAACTGGCAAAGAAGGTAGTCTTAAACACAGAATTTTACGACCACCAAGCATTAATATCATTGATCTGCCTCAGTCAGTTGTGGCCGATGCCCCACTTTCAGCTCCGCCCATTCGGACACACCGTGAGCCATCTCCAAAACAGGCAAGATCTATTCCTTCTTCTGGGTATCGCTCATTTTCAAGCTCTGCATCTTCTTTAACTGAGGTCACGAACAGAATTCCCTCATCTAGTGCAAGTCCTTCTGGCAGTTTTCCTAACCATTGTTCTTCACTTTCATCTGGTTCTCCATCTCCAGCTCCTCCCAGTTCGCCAGGAGCAGCTGCACAGCTAAAGTATCCTCAGTCATTCATCAAAGGTGCCATTATTCAGCTAGCCAACAACCAGTTAAAGCAAGTGGAAAATATGACTACAGAAGATTTTATTGAATGTGGTTTATTAAGTTCCACTTTGAAAATAGATTCTAGTACTGTAGTGAGCATTGAGAAAACTCCTTCTACAGGAGCTGCCAAACTGGGCTTTCATGTTGGTCAAGACAATATACAGGTACCCTGTGTTATGATTCATTAATTAAAAAATTTTTTGATTATTTGTTATTGAAATAACTACAAATATTCAAGAAAAAATATTAAGTAAGGTATTGAAAATAGAAAGCATTGCATTATTCCAGATTTTCTGGCTGAGAGCATAGCCCATTTAGATATTTGAAAAGATATGATAGCATGCTCTTCTCTCCCTTCCAAACCAGTTAACATGTTTACTGTTATATAAGTAAGAAAATTTTGCAATGTGTTCAAATGTTTTATTTGAACAGATTGTACCCTTAATATCCTTCATTGTCAAAAGAATATGCTTCCTTTTTGATAGCATATTAATTAAGTGAAAAAGTTGGATTTTATCTTAAAGATACAAATATGAGATAAAAAAACTTTTACATTGGAAGGGAATTGACGTTTTATCATTGTTTTTCTTAGTCTAATTTTAAAAATAAAGAATTTGTTGTGTTTGTATGGGATCTTCTCTCTCCCCTTCATTAATATTCATTTTACATTATTTCACATTTTGACAGAGTATCTTTATTAGATTTACAGAAAGAATCCTGATATGATGTTTTCTATTACGAAAAAGTAAAAATATCTTCCAGCATGTATTTTATGCAATATTTGCAGAAAAATATGACTAATTGTGAAGTAGCATGGTAACTGAAGACAATATTGAAGATTATGTGGGTTGTCCACAGAGTATTGTCCATGAGAAAAAATATGTTATCTAAATAAATGCTCACTACTGGATTTAAAAATCTTCACATTAGCCAGAGCAGATCACTACCAGCCTCTCAAGAAGACTTTGGCTTGATTTAAGTACCTACTTGCCACAAAGGCAATGTACAGTAACACACTTTCATAGCTTCGCTAGGATTTGAATCCATTCCCAAGGCTACATCATCCTCACTATGCCAGTGGAGTGGCAACATAAATACGAAACAGAGGTGAATTTTGCATAAGATTCAGTTCAAGCCGAGATGCATTTGTAACTTAAGTTACTCCATATATATTCCTTTCGTCATTCGTATTATTTCCTTAAGTGAAATTTATTACAATTAAAAAAAAATTATATTTTTAAAAGATTAAATAGCCTTCTTTCTCCTGCCTTGCATTATTTTTATCTAGCTGTTTTACACATTTAATAACATGAAAGTTTACACTTCTGTTTCCCGTTTTCTTACTTGCATTGTCAATTATAATAATAATAATAATAACTTAATTTTACAAAATGTTAAATTATCATTCATTGAAAACTCTATTATTATTTATTATTTAATTGTACCTTAACACAAGATTTTGATTTTATTACACATTTGACAAGTGTATGTAAGTTGATAGTTTTGATGCTTCACTATGCTCTTTTTTACAATTAAGTAAGAAATACTGAGAAAAGTTGTCATGAGTCAATAAGTTAAATAGTATGTAATATCAGATTTATTAATATTTCTTCATTTTGTTGTTTTATGTACAAACATCATAGTCAGGTTTAATATTTTTGAGTAGCATTAGTTCTGAAAATACTATTTAAATAGAAATTAATCCAAATTTATGAATAAAATTATTGTTAGTTTGACTTCTTTATATTTAAAAATTTGTTACCATAATAAAACTTGTAATTAATTTTATTTAAAAAATATTTTCAATTAATATTTTCTATCTGCAGTTTAAAAACATGATTTTTTCAGTATAATCTTACATTCTTTAACCTTTCCTTTTAGAATTTATATGCTTTTGTGTAAGTGAAACTTTTTGTTGACTTGCTTGTTTCAATTACGAATTGAATCATACCTAATACATTCATAATAAGACCAGTTTATCACTGAATTTTACAGGGATGATCAGAAAGTCATAAAACTTCCCATGAGCAGCCTAGTTTATAAGTTACCTAACTGAAATGCTGATTGGCTAAACCCAGAAGATGCATAAAAAGCACATAGTTATCAGAATTTGACACAGTCTGAAAATTTGACGATTTGGCAACTTCTAATAAAGTGTTTGCAATAATATATAATTACTGCCTGATGCAAGTTTGCTTGCAGACAGTTATTTGATGTTTTTTTTTTAAAGGCAAAAAAACTAAAATTTTGCAGTGGCATAATGAGGTAGATACTTTGAAACAAAAATAGCCTACAACTGATTCCAGTATTTTCTCTCTGTTTCATGACTAATTCATTCTCAGTATCATTAGTAATTTAACCAACTTAGTGATGAGAGACAGGTAATGGTAGTTGATTGAGCATCTTCAGCAAAGGTGTAACTTCCTTCATTGCCATGAACATTCTAATAGTTTGAAATCCCATTCATAAACAATTTCCCAACCCCAATGTATGGTAAAAACTTACATAACCTGTCTCTATTAATAGAAAAATATATCATGAAAATAGTTTAACAAGTTTAAATAATTTTGGCCACATATTATAAAATGTGGAAAATTTTTCATTGATATGTCAAAATGTATACCATACTCATCTGTGAATTACATTAATACACATTCAAAAGTGTGGTATAAAACAGGTCACATTTGAAAAAGCAGCTTGTTCTGCAATGAACGGTAGTAATGCTTTTAATATCTTTATGATACCATTTTCACACAGAACTCAAATTTTAAAGCTATTTTTAATGCTGTTTTTGAAACCACCTACTCTTCAGCTCAGAAACATTCCACTGTTGGATGAAATAAACATCCAAATCATTTTCTAAATCATCATTTCAAATAGTATATGTCATGAACATACAGGAAATCATTTACATAAAGAAAATACAGAACTTTCAATTAATGCATGTATTAAAGCAAAGAAATATATTAACGCACGGTATTATTAAAAATCTCGGAGCTAAAATGGACATTGTAATTGTCCTGAATTAAGATCTTGAATCAACAGCAAGTTATTCTACATATAATTTGCTCTTGAAGAAAGAAAACTGTTACTTTGGGGCAACAAAATGCATAATTATTATTTGAAATTAGCATCAGATGAACGTTGACCTAATTTGTCATTTATTTACATATTCTTTTGTTTGATTTAGAAAGCTATGTTGTCTAAAAAAGACCTGGTAATTTTTTTTCACCTCTTCTGTCTTCTTTTCTTCCCTCCCTTGATAAATTTTCATTTTTCATTTGCTGCTAAGATAACATCTGAACTTTTCTGTCTATAAAATAACATGTGTTTAGCAATTTTCTTTTGCAAGATACATGTGTTAATTTGAAATTTCCAGCAAGAAAACATACTTTTGACATCAGCTCATTTCAGATGCAGTAAAATTTTTCCTAGACATTAGAAATATATCTCTCTGGCTAGTTATTACAATCAGTAAAGAATGTAACAAAATAACACATTTTGAAATAAGAACACTGTTTTAAGAAATAAAAAGAACACCTCTGTTATTTAAATGAGGCCAAGATTATTAATAAATCACCAAATGGTCAACAGTCTTAATGATCACTTTTAGTGGTGTACAAGTTAAAATACCTTTTTCTTGAAAGTGCAATATATCGATCTTATAGTTTGGTGAAATAAATATTGCTAATAATTTGGTGAAAAAGCTAGAAAATCCTGTTGAAAATACAGCAATAATGTGTGCTCTTCTCTGAGCTCTTCAAATAATGAATAGTGAACCTTGTTAAGATTGCCAGCTGTTTGGTAACAATTTGCTATGTACATTGGTAATTTATCAGTAATCTTGGTGCAGTTTAAACAATGGGGGCCATAACAATGAGGAAGTACCACCACATTTTATTTAACATTAGTAGGCAATGCTGACAATACATCTTTCTGTAGAAAATTGTGTGGTGCATGTTGTGCTATTATAGGGAAAATCCCGAATACTAATTATTACTAGAATTGCACAAGTAGTTTAATTTATGCAGAAGAATCTTGGTATTTTAAGATTTTTTCATCATTTTCAATGTCAAATGCAAATCCCAAAGAGTTTCATTATTTCATCAGATAATTTTACTGATTTATTTGTGTTTGAATGACAACAGTTGTTACACTTGAGATTGGTATGTGGTGTAAATAATTTTTCCCCCTATGTATAACTCTCTTGTGTTTAATATTTATTAAGTGTTCAAAATATTTATAAATGTCATGAGGATAATAATAATATTCAAAATAAAAGTATATAATTTACCATCGGCTGTGATTATTAATTGCCATATAAGTAATAAAGAATATATCATGTTTTTATTGTTAAATACCAAACTGTGTTTGGTGTTAATTTTAATAAAAAGGACTGAATTTAATTAATAAGAAGAAAAAAATATAATTTTGAAAAATTTTTTGGATTTAAAATGAGTGAAAAAAATGTATTTTGTTTTTGGATTTCACCTCTCTCTCTCTCTCTTTTTTTTTTTTTTTTTTGTTGTGTGTGTGTGTATTGTAAGAAGTAAAAAAAAATTTTTTTTTGTTTAACAGATAACTGTTGAAGCTCCTCTAGAACATCCATTCTTTGTATACAAGCAAGGCTGGTCCTCTTGTTCACCTGAACGTTCTGCCCAACGTTATGGCTTAACTTGTCACAAATTGAAAGTTGGAGATGTATGTATTTCTCTTACTGATAAACCTCAGACACCAGGCAATGGTGAAAAAAAGGTATCTAGTGTATCTGTGCCAATTGTGAATTCAAATATTACCACAAGGAAGCAGAATTTATCTTCTGAAAATATGGTAGCTGATGACACAAAAGAAATGAAATCTCAAGTGCTTGGCCTTCTTTCAAATGTGAATTCACCGTCCGAAAAGCAATCCTCCCAACTTTTAGATAAATTAGTGACAACCGAAAATGAAATGCGACCTTCAGGGAAAAGGAAAAGGCGGTGGTCTGCTCCTGACAATCTTTCGCAAGATGAGGATGCAGATCCATTAAGTTCTTGAGAATATGTATGTATATATATACGTATATAAGTATGCATCTGGTCACAGTTTTCATTTTCATCATGTTTTTAAAAAAACTTTGTAGAATTTTATTATATGTGTGCCAATATGCACATTTCTCATGCTGGTGAAAAATGTATGCGTATTATCTGCTTTACTCATTCTCATAGATATTTTGACTAAAAACTTAATCTAAACGCATCTACATAAATAGCATCTAAATTTAAATTAGTGTGATAATTAAACTGTTATTCATATTTCATTCATAAGTTATCACAAATACAGTGAAAAAGTTGAATTGTGAAATATGTATGATTTTTGAAGTGAAGAGAATTTAAGTGTATTTTAGGTTGATTTTGGGATGAGAAATAGGCTATAGCCGAGAGACAGGCTTCCATCTTTATTTCTGTGGATGTATAGCTTTGCAGATAAATTTATAATGTATTCAGTTTGATCAAAAAACATAGATTTAATTTTCAGCATACTATTTTATATGGAATAAAGTAAATAAGTACTGATATAACATTATGAATTGTCTGAGTTGTATTTTTGATGAACCATGATTGTTAATTTACTAATAATCATAAAATTTACTTAAATATTTTGAATTTATTTAAAAAAGTTGTTTAAAACATCTTAAAACCTGTGAATTTCTTATATATTATGCTGTGCCAATCCATTTAAATCAATTTTTTCCCAAAATATTTTGGAGACATTTGTATTGATCACAATAATTTGCACAAACTGCGATATCCTGTATGGGTAGGAAACTTCTGAAATTTCATTCTTTGTCTGCCAAATCTGTAAAGCTGTCATATATTTTGGCCATTTTATATGGTAACTTTTTTCCCCTTGTTATTGCAAAAAAATTTTAAAATAATCAGTATGCAATATATGGTGAATCATGAATATTGTTGACTACTCTTATATATATATATTGAATCAATATGTTATGGTATAGTATTTTGATTGCCTGGTCTAATGTTATGTTTTAAAATATTCTTTCCTATACTTGAAAAATATTTGCTACGTTAACTTTTTAATTGCAGTATTTTTTGATTAAATAAATGTAAAAAGTTTAAATGTTTAAATGAAAGAGAAGTAATTTAGTGCAATTGAAGACCAGAAATTAGCATAGCTCACAGGCAGATTTTTGATCGTAAAAATTACTACGATTAGGCTAAAAAAGAAATAAAGAGAAGGGGAAAGAAAGAACAAGAAAAAGGTGATAAAGAAAAGCTATGAATTTCTTTTTATGATTTTATAGAACAAAACAACAAACATTATAAAAAAGGACATGAAGTATATAAAAATTATTTTTGACATTTTTCAAATATGTGTTTTACAATAGTTTGTTTTAAAACTTAAGGATGTTCTAGTTGGAGTTCTTTAGGTGTTTCATTTTACAAAGATTCCAAAGATGTGATTTTCATATGACTTTGCTTATATCCTGACTCTGAGTGATGTAAAAGATATGTATGCCAAATTTCAAGAAGGTTGGATAATATTTAGGGGTTGCACATATTGATCACTTTTATCTGAAATAAGGCAAATTTCTAATATTGTAGGGCTTTTTACTAATGGGCTTCTCATGTATTTCTTTAACCACAATGTTGCAAAAGTTTCTGTATCTCCAGTTGTGGTTTACTGAGCTTGAGATATCAATAAAAGTAAAATGGTGAAGAACATCAAAGAGTCACTCTTTGAAAAATCCTCCTTGTTTGGTCTTACATTAGGATAGTAAACTGTTGCCTTCAGTTGCCCAAGGGAGTGTTAAATCTTTGGAAAATAGATTTGCAGTTCTAGGAGGTTAGTCTCAAAACGACTTCAGTTTCAAGGGCCTCTGTAACAAGCAAAGCAAAGGCAATATATGCACTTAAATTATTCTCTTCACTGAAAAGTTGAATATCCCTCGATGAGAATTAAAAGTAATGAAACAAGGTGCACATTTTGTGAATCTCGTATATGTTTGCTTTTAGCATGAGACAACTGTAATTCGGGCTCCAAATAATGTTTTGATTATGTTACAGCTCCTGAGCACTTACCCAAATGCTAATGTAAAAAAAAAAGTGCTCTCACAATTGCTAAGAGACACCTTTTTTATCTATCAGAAACAAATGTAAACTTGGCTTTTTTGGACGTATGAGTTACTCAGGCTGATAATAAAAATGTGATTAAGAATTTAGAAAATGAACCCGCGAAGAAAGAGGAAATTAAACAATCGGAGTGTAAAAAACCTAGTTTTTGAAGACAACAAAATGAGCCATTTCATTATTAATAAAAAAAGCAACAATGTTCTTTGAATTGTTTGGGATCCATGACATGAATACTGCAGTTATTCTCTAAGAAGCCGTATGAATGCTTTTAAGGTGGTCAATGATACCGTGGAAAGAGGTGGTGTTGGTGTATTTAATTATGGCAAAGCACACGAGGGCTATCTGCCTAAGGGAAGGGATGCCTTTCGTGGAGGACTTTCTAAGGTAAACTGGCTCGTATACACGTTACACATGGGGAAAACCATGAAAACGGCCATGCAGCCAGCCCGTTCGCGGGATTCGAACTTTGGACCGAACTACCAGTGTTCAGCGACTTTACCGCTCGGCCGCTGGTGGGCCCCCATGAAAAGAGGAATTGCTGTGATAGAAATGTGTCAATGAATCGGCCGGGGATGAACAATAAAAACAATTCTTGAGGTTAGTTGAGCATTACAGAAACGGTTTCACCAAGCTAACAAAAGAAGAGATTGCATCATTCAGAGTTGATTAATATAATGCATGTTTTGCCTACCTATTAATCTTAATATCTAGTTTTAATATTATTTTAGGTTATTAATTTTTAGTTTTCCCAATAAAATTAACGTTGAAAAATCATATTTTTTTTGCATACCTTTACAAAATTGAACAAAGTGTGGCACCTCTAAATATTTACCAATCTTTTTGAAGTTTGGCATATGTATCTTTTATATCACTGAGACTTCTTGAGTAAGCAAAGTCTAAAAAAAAAAAAAAAAAAAAAAAAAAAAAAAAAAAAAGAAATGCCATAGAGTTCTCCTTTTTTTCCCTTTATAAATTAATATTCATTGTGGTCTCTACTTTCTAATTAATAGCACACCTTTGTTGTTTTAAAAGTGTCAAATAATTTTCTTCAAAAGCCAAATCTTCAAAAGTTATCTTTATAGCTTTCTCTAAATCATCATTAAAATCAGAATTTTTTTGTGCTGGATTTAAAACATAGTCGGTCATTTCATCATCAGTCATTTGATTTTTAGTCCAGAGGGGATTAGCCCAGAATGGCTATTAAGTTCGAAACAGCATTTTGCGTCAATTAACTTTTCAGACTGTTATTACCAAATATCACCATGTATTATATTTAAAGAAACTAAGTAATGAAGAATCTGCATGAATGTTTCTCACATTTTGAAGAAACAAGACCTAGAGTCATCAAATTTTGAATAATGTAACCAAATATTGGCACTTGGAAGCCCAAATTTTAAATTTGTTTTATTATCGATGTAAAATTTTTTAAAACTTTAACGAATTTTTTATTAACCTATTCAAAGTTTTCAAAGCGAGCAATGGCAACACTGTATGGAAGGGGGGGGAATTATCTCCATTGTGCAAGACTGTGTATCAGAAATTCTAAAGATCTGCTGATTTTGAATATGAAGGGGGGGGGGGAAATTATCTCCATCGTGCAAAACTGTGTATCAGAAATTCTAAAGATCTGCTGCTTTTGAATATTTTGTGATACTGCTGTTGAATTGAATTTTATGTGTTTTAAGAGCGAAAAGCATGATATTTAATCAATAAAGGTAACACAAAACGTAAAACAATGTAATATAAAATCTGAAAGCTTTCAATTTATATATATATGTAAACTGAAAGTTCATCAAGATTAGTTATCCAGTTCCACAATGTTTTCTTCTCAAAATATTTCTTCATTTTTCGTCAATTTTTTTTGTTGGAAATTCACTTAGTGAAATTTACCACTCTTCTTTGTTTCAATGAAAAGTGAATATTAACCACAAATTATGCCCAGGTGGACTTAAAAATAGAAGTTTTTAATTTGAATATTTTGCATTTCTGCAATCTTTATCATTGTAAATTTCATTATTTAGATCAGAGAGGCTGTGTGCAATGGTCAGCGTATTTGTGGTCTTCTATCAAAATTTTTATTAATTTTTCCTGTGATATTATGTAATATAAAAAATAAAATAAGTGATTAAAAGTCACCCTTATTTGTAAAATAAGTTAATATTTTACACTTTGTTTTCTTTGATGGCACTTTGTTTTCTTTGATGTCAACTACTCATAAAAAAGGAACTATGCTGCGATATTATTACATGGCATTAGTTATTCGTTGCACATGTTGTCTAATGAGATGCATACCTTAGGGTATATTTATCATACAAAACTGTTTATGTACTGATTATTTGTATTATATGCTGCTTGAATTTGAGTTATTGATCTGACTGCAAATAAACTAAAGAAATCTGAACTTAAATAACATACGGCTTGCTACACCTGCTCATTGGGTTATGTTTAAAGTATGTGTTCATGATATTCAAGATATTCTTTATTTTCATCAATTATCATTATCACAGTTTTGATTATTTTTTCAGTTTTATTTACATGATTTTTATTTCAGCTTTCATTTCCTTCTTTCTCTTATTTTATAGTTTTCTCTTTTTTATCTTCAGTATAATTATAAACCACAGAGAAAGATAGTAATAAGCAGAAAATGTGACTAGAAAGCTAAAGCTACAAAAAATTGTAAAACATTATGTATTTTGCCAATTTCTGTAACAGTGCTTACAATTTGTATGAAATAGCTACCATAGTGTACAAAATATGAATATTTCTCAAACATTAAATATTATAATGCTTAAATGAGAACAAGTATTAATGTAATTCTTAAATAGCTTTAAAATCTTGTTTTTGAATCTTGTATGTATATGAAAACCATTTGGAAATAATTATCTTCAACATTATTATTATTGTGTAATTTTTCTGTAGAATATTTAGTGGTGTTGGTAATAAGTAATTTTTCCTTAAAATTAAGCAAAAAGCATATATTTTTAATAAGATTCTGTTGATTTGAATGCTGATCTGACATTAGGTTTCATTTCTTCAGAAGCAAAAACATTTTCTAAAATTGCAAAATAAATTAGTTGATATAATTAGTCTGTTGTGTTTTAAAATATGAAGAAATAAAATCCGTATTTTATTACCAACTCTCAAATATCTATAACAGTTAATTTTTTTATTCATTTAAATTAAAGTTTGGAAATGTATTGTACTTTTAATGCTTTGGAAATTTGAATATTTCACATTAAAACTTCAAAACCTAAATCAAATTTCCATCATAACTTTGGGAATTACTGATAATTATCTATGAATATAATTATGTAATTTTACCTAATTTTATAATATATTATTTAGTTTCTTATATTAAATTTGAAATTAATTATAGTAATTTTGGAAATCAAAATATTAACTCTAGTTCAGTGTTGATAGCGGATTAATTAAAAAGTTAGATCACTTTGTATATATAAGGAAAATTTTTAATTCAAAATCAGATTTTACACTTATTTAGTTACCATATTATTGAAATTTTTGTGCACATCAAGTAAATATCTTAATTATGTAATACAAATTTGAAAAAATATGTCTGTCTATATTTTTTTATTTCTGCACAATGCTCTATTAGAATTTTATTATATTTGTACAGAGATAGCTGTAGTATTGTATATAAGATGAAAATTATAAAATATCTTTTTATAAAATATATTTTAGAATTTTTCTTAATTCAGTGTTTTTCAAGGTAGGAGATTATAAAATTTATTAATATAGTTTGGTACAAAGGACATTTCATAAGATTAATCGACTGGAAACATATTTGCAGACTTACTAAATATAGAATGATATTTAAAAATGTGTTTATTTTTCACTAAAAATTTGTGAAAAAAGGGTTTTGAACCTTTGAAATACCTCTTAGTTTTATTATTTTCATAATTTTAAATATTAATTTGTGTTTTAAATTTCTAACTGTGTATTTTATTTAAAGTGGAGGTTTTATAGAAAGTTGAGTAGTATACCTTAATTTATTGTCTTTGTGATGCTGTCTTTACATTGTGTCTGTGTTTCAGTATTTTAAGTAATCATGTTAAATGGTTTATAGTCCTTTTCCAATATTTAGAGAATGAAAGACATTTTTTATTTAGTTATATATGTGTGTGGGTTCTAACAACTTGATTTTTTTTTGTATCTTTAATATACTTTTCAAAATAAAAAATGACTTGTGTGCTGCATGTGTATATTTTTTTTTAATTCTAATTAGTTAACAAAATTAGATTTAAAAATTGTTTAAACTTGTTAATATGCAAATCAAAATTGATCTCTTATTAAGTTAAACTTTAAAAGTTTTTGATATAATATTTTTAATTGTTTGACAGTAAGAAATTATTTTATTTTAATATGTTGTAAATAATACATTGGATATTTTAAAGCTAATGAAATAAACTTTAAAAGATCTTAGAACACACCAAAGCAAATATTTTTCCTCATTGTGTGGTCACATATTAAGTAGTTAGGTTTGGAAGTTGCTTTCCCCCTATGTATACATGCTGTCTTTCACTTTAACAAGACCAAATGATGATTATCCATCTGTTAATATACTGCTCCATTTCAAATTGCTTGTGACAATGCCTGAACCATCAATCTCATGATTTAGTTGCAGATATTGTACTTAACATGTGTTGCATTCAGTGAAAATGAAGTCATTGAAAATTCATGAATATAATTAAGTATGAAGTTGATGGTATGTATAAGGGGATGACAGGGTAGAGGGTTGGTCTTTTAGCCAGAAGTTATGTAAATACTCAAATGTCAAAATCAGTATAATCTGAGTAATGTAGTGGTTCAGATTGGTATAATTTGAATAGAGATCCGTTTTGTATTTTTCCATTAAGGAGTAAATCCATGCCCCATACATAGCCAGAGAGTATGCACAGATAAAATACAGAAATAAAAAGAATTACAAAGGTATATTGATGATGCATGCAAAAATTATCTCTGTGTGCACTTAAAAGCACTGTATTTCTTTGCATTACCAAAAAAAGGAAGTGTGTGTGGAAACAGAAAGCACCTCCCACTGCCTAACTGCCTATTGTGGGGCTGTAGCAGTTGCTACATCACAAAACATTATTTTTCTGTTTAAGAATAATTTTTCACTACTGTATTTTAAAGAAAATTTTGGTTTTTTCCCCTCTTTATTTGAAAGTTTTCGATAACCATTTTCTCCTGAACCTAACAAATAAACTTGTTTTAATTGATCGATGGAAACACTGATGTCTTTTCCTTTAATTCTCATTTTGTAATATTTGTTATTTTTGACAATTATGGCAAAAGGTCCTTTATAAGGGGATTCTAATGTTTTCTTTATGTGCTGCACTTCGACAAATACATGTGAACATAAATCTGAATATGATAGTATTGTGAAAAAAATAATTTATCTTTTACATTGGCAGGTAACTGTTTTTAATTTTTCCATTGTTTTTGCAGTTCACTAGTGAAGGTATTCAGTTCTAATTTGGTTTTTTGGTCCTTGAAAGAATTCTGATTCTGCTGCACAAACAAGTTTTCCTCATTTTTCCAGTTACATGATGGCTTATATTTTTCTTCAAAGCATCTTGATATGAAAGTAAAGGGGTAATAACACAGTTTGCCTTCTGATTTGTAATGCTTTAAACTTCTGCTTCTAAATAATAATTTTTTCCTTTGCTACAACTTCTTTCATTTGGCTAGTGGTAGAAATGGAGCTCTTCAATCTGCCATTTCAACAAAGATATATTCTCCAGTAATTGTCAAATGTATGATCAAATGTATTCTCTAGTAATTGGTGACATGTTCAAATTCTTAACTTCAGTTGAATAAGCCTCATATACTTCAGTTTGTGAATGCATGTCGTAAAATCTTACCAGCCCTAATCGCCAGTTTATCATTACCTTCATCACTAACCACCCATATATGT